AGGCACGTGCCACCATGCCCAGCTAATTTTTTGTATTTTTAGTAGAGACGGGGTTTCACCATGTTGACCAGGATGGTCTCGATCTCTTGACCTAGTGATCCACCCGCCTCGGCCTCCCAAAGTGCTGGGATTACAGGCTTGAGCCACCGCGCCCGGCCCCTAAAACAACTACTTTTATTTGCTCATGATAATGTGGGTCAGCAATTCTGACTTGGCTTAGCTGGTTCATACTTCTGGTCTCACTTGGGCTGCAGTCTCAGAGCTTCTTAAATTGGATAGCCAAAGATGGCCTCATTCATGTGTCTGACTGTGTATGTTTCCTATTGGCTGGGCCATATGTCTTCAGCAAGCAATTCTGGGCTCTCATGGTACCAGCATTCTAAGAGGGCTCACCCCAACACACAACTTTCCAGGACTCTGTTCATCATTTTGCTCAATGTTTATCTCAAAGCAAGTCATGTAGCCAAGCCCAGGGTTGATGTGGGTGGGGACTACACAACAGTGTGGCTGTAGAGAATCATGATCACTGGGTGCTGTTGCATTAATAGTCTGCTTCAGTTTACCAGTTTTGAAAAATTCTCAGCTCTTGTTCCTTAGATATTGCCTTGTCTCTGTTTCCTCTCTTGTCTCCTTCTGGAATACAGATTTATTTCTCATTCTGTTTTTTGTATCTCTTAAGCCTTCCTCCATATTTTCTGTCTTCATTTTTGCTACTTTCTGTTTATTTTTTCTGATCTGTCTTCCAGCTCTGCCTCTTCAGTGTTGTCTGATCTTCTGTATAAATCTATCTAAACTTAAAAAAAATTGTTACTGCATTTTTGATTTTTAGAATTTGTTTGGTATTTCCCCCAGGTCTACTATCATTTTAAATATGGTTTACTATTAGCTGCAGATGTTTTCCGGCAAAACAAATTTATTGCATTATAAAACCCTGGTTGGTATTCTTGAGTAGTAAATGCACACACAGGTCGGAAAGAGCAGGAGAAGATAACCTATCTAGTGCTCTGAAGAGTATAGTGGCTTAAAATTTGGCTTAAATTAATTTTGTTTGTGGTTTGTCAATATTAATACACATTTTGCTTTCCTTAATGGATCCTTTATGTTTATCTTTACTGAATACAAAAATTCCATTAAACATCATTATAAAGTAAAAATGTTAAAATGTTCAAGAGGAGAAATGGAGATATGGGCCCTAACTTTTTCCTCTCCTCTGCTCAAGCATGATAAGTGGCTCTTAGAGTAAGTCTTCCGTCCTCCTCAGTAATAGCTCTGTCTCCTAAGAAACAGACATAGTTTCGTTCATCAGTCTGAGTAGTATTTCCCTTCTCTCTCAGGATTATTGTAAATGCACCTTGAGACTTGTATTCAAAACTACTTGAAAAGATGTGAGAGTTTCTTAGGAAATTCTTGACTAGGTGGCCTTTACTATATATGCATACTTTTGTGAATGATGGAATATGAAAGACCTAATGGGTATGATTTCAGAGGATTAACCAGGCTAAATACAGTGAAATAAGAATTATACTGGAGTGTGGATTTTAGTATATAGGGGATATGTTTGCAAAATAATTTATGAAAGGTTGGTCAAACTGGATATTTACTTTCCTGGTGACTTATAAATGACCCCGATTTTGGGGGAAATAAATTGATACTGTGTAATGAAATAAGTCAGGTGTGTATGCTCTTTGACCCCCTGACCTGAATGCTAGGAATTTGTCAGGGAGAAGATAATAAAAGACCTTATAACATGTTTAATAAAATGATGTTTATGTAAGTGAAAAACTGGAAACAACATGAAATTCTAACATTGTAGGAATGATTATTTTAAGAAACATCTACTCAAGGAATGTTTTGCAGCAGATGAAGTCGTGCTTATGAAAACTAAAGCAAAATAAAGATATCTGATATGGTGCTAAGTGAAAAAGTAGGATGTGATATTTTTTGAATCTCATTGATTTGTGGCTATGTAAATAGAGTCTAGAAGTTAATACACAGAAGTTTAATAGTTATACTATTAGGTGTCTGAGTTTTAATTTAAAAGTTTAAATGCCCCTTTGCTCTGTGTCACTTTAGCTTCAGTGATTATTGTCAACAGATGTAATAAACTATATATCTCATAATTATTCTGACTTTTTAGATTTTCAGTGATCTGTTTAAAAATAATGTAAACCATGCTGAAAATACAGAGGAAAAACAAAATTCGGTTGTTTTCCCCTCTCTTTTCCAGACTTATTATATAATATCACTATTTTTTAATGAAAAAAATTAAACAAAATTTAAAAGAGTAGAGGAAATAATGTATTACAAGGGAGAGCCCTTTTCCTATTTTTTGGGTTGGGAAAATGTTTTAAGTTTATGCCTCTGCATTAATATATCTGACATAAGAGCCAATAGAATATATAGTCTTTGTTCTCAGGATAGTTTTCTAGAAAGCTTTTAAAAAACTCATCTTCAGGTAAAATTGAATACACTTTCCTTCACAGTCTCCTCACTTTTCTTTTCTTTTTCTTTTCTTTTTTTTTTTTTTTTTTGGCAGAGTCTTGCTCTTTCACCCAGGCTGGAGTGAAGTGGTGCAATCTCTGGCACACTGCAACCTCCACCTTCTGGGTTCATGATTCTCCTGCCTCAGCCTCCTGAGTATCTGGGATGTGCCACCACGCCAGGCTAATTTTTGTATTTTTTGTAGAGATGGGGTTTCTTCATGTTGCCCAGGCTGGTCTTGAACTCCTGACCTCAAGTGATCCACCTTCCTCAGCCTCCCAAAGTTCTGGGATTGCAGGCGTGAGCCACCATGCCTGGCCTCCTTACTTGTTTCATAGTGTCTGTTTTACATTATTTTATTTGTTTCTTGACCTGTTTCTATTAGATGTTAAATTTTTTGGAGAACAGTGATTTATATTTGTATTCCCTGCCCTTGGCACACCATCCTGCACATAGAAAGTGCTTAGTACATTTATTAAATGGATGTTTAAATGAATGAAATAATGTTTTTGTTAAAATTGGGATATATTATTATTATTGATAGTGGATTCTTTTTGTATATTTTTGGAGTAAGTAGGTATAAGATTTAGTGACATTATATCGTTTTTACTATGATTGATTCTTAATGTCTTTTTTTTTTTTTTCACATTGATTAGGCCTTTCTGGACTTTGAATATTGTCCAAATAAACTTTGCCTAAAGCTGGATTTTTACCTCTACTCATAGTGATTTATAATCTTTGAATCATGTTTGGTGTTTTTTTTGAGACAGAGTCTTGCTTTGTCCCCCAGGCTGGAGTACAGTGGCATGATTTCAGCTCACTGTGACCTCCACCTCCCACTTTCAAGCTATTCTCCTGCCTCAGCCTCCTGAATAGCTGAGAGTACAGGTGTGCACTACCACAGCCAGCTAATTTTTTTGTGTTTTTAGTGTAGATGGGATTTCACCATGTTGACTAGGCTGGTCTTGAACTGCTAACCTCAGATGATCTACCTTCCTCGGCCTTCCAAAGTGTTGAGATTACAGGCGTGAGCCACCGCGCCTGGACTAAATCATGTTAGTTTTAAAGTTAGCTATCAATAATATATTTGTACATCTTTTTACGTTACTTTGCTTTGGTGGTATATAAAAACAAAGGAGGGGGTCTTTTATGGATAATGAATTATCTGCTGTAATTAAAATGAATATTTTTGTTTTTATGTAATATTTTTGGGGAACATATATTTTTTAATCCAATTTGGGGCATAAATGGGGAATTTTAGAAGCATTATCAACCTATCTAATATTCTATTTTGATTGGAAAAGGTTTAAATGCCTTTGCTGTGTATCACTTCATTATTGATTATTGATTATTGTCAGCAGATATGATGAACTATATTATCTCTTTATTATTTCAACTTTTATTTTAGCTTTTCAATGATCTGTTTAAAAATAATGCAAACCGTGCTGAAAATACAGAAAGAAAGCAAAATCAGAATTATTTTATGGAGGTGATGACTGTAGAAGGAGTCTATGACTACCTGATGTATGTAGGTAAGATCTAAGTGGTTTAAGACTTGTTTTTCATTCATCTTACTTCTTCTGTGATGCAAATAATGATCTTGAGTATTGCCCCATCATAACTCTTTTTTTAATTGAAGATACCTTTTATAAAAATTCAGTATAATTGGCCTTGGTCATATTAAAGTTGCTAGTGTTTACAAATAAAATATTGACCATTGTCTTTCATGTTTTCTACATTGGAAAATTTTAAAAAATACCAGTTATCTGGAACAATGAGATATCCTATTTTATCCTTTCTCAGGACGTGTAGTTTTCCAGGTTCCTGACTGGCTTCATCATCTCTTAATGGGAACTCGAATCCTCTTTAAAAACACCCTGGATATGTATACTGATTACTATCTTCAGTGTAAACTAGAACAGCTATTTCAGGAACACCGTTTGGTCTCACTCATAACACTTCTTCGAGGTTTGTATTTTCTCATGTGTTTGTTTCATGTTTTATGTACTCTATGATTTTAATTGAATCTAAAAGAGAAAGAAATCTTGTTTTGCTTTGGTTTATTAGTATTTCTACAATGAGGAAGTCCTTTGTGTATAAGTAGATGAAAATTCCAGAAGTATTTCTTTTTACTTTTTTTTTTAGATGCTATATTCTGTGAAAACACTGAACCTCGCTCTCTCCAAGATAAGCAGAAAGGAGCAAAACAGACTTTTGAAGAAATGATGAATTACATTCCAGGTGTAATAACTCAATTTCATACAGATTAGCAGTCCTTTGAGGTCACAATGTACAGTAATTATTGAAGCTAATATTTACCATGAGTTTTCATTTTACAAAATGTTGCAAAGATGGTTAAAATTAACACACTAGTTAAATAATTCTTTCAGATGTTAGCACTAGGACTAAGATGTTAGAACTTTAAGGCAAGGCTGTTTCTATTCACATAATAGCCAGACTCATTAAAAAATAATTTACAATCAGATTGGTCAAAGTGACATTTTGTGAGACAATTGGAGGCCTGTGCCCACTCCACCGTAAGCATTGCTCACTAGTATATATGACTAAAAGATCAGAATTTATTTATTCCAAATTTATTGAGCACCTTCCATATTCTAGGCACTATGCAAAATGCAAGAGATATAAAAAATGTACTTGAGTAGCTCAGTCTAGCAGGAAGACAGACATACAGGCAAAACATACGTGTGATAATAGAGGCATGTTCAAGTTACAGAGGAAACACAAAGGAGGAAGATAGTAGGTTTGGGCCACTACAGAAATGAATGGTAGTAACCTCTTACTGTGATGAGAAATAACAAGGAAAAAAGGTCAAGGGGTCAAAGCAGAAGATTCTTAGTTTAGAACATTTTGAATGAGAAGTACTTATAAGTTATTCAACAATCTATTAAGCAATTAGACATCTAGGTTCAAAGGTTGGAGGCAAGGTGGTATAGAATAGATTAGTAGAGCTATGGGAGCAATGTGTGAGTAGATACTAAAGCACAGAAAGAAAGTATGGAGTAAGAAGAGAAAAGGGTGACTTCCAGTTTCTGGTCTGGCACATGAGAACCTGGACATCATCACTCCATCCTAGTAATAAGGAAAAAGCTGAATGAACTAAAAAAAACTAAACAGCTGTTAGATCCACCAGAGAGTGATGTCATATGGCAAACCACTACCTCCCATATCGGAGATAATCATAGCTAGCTGGAGCAGAAACCCATGAACTCAAACCTCTGGAGAAGCCAGTGCTGAGGTAGGGAAACCTGAACTATAACTGACAAATTGCTGCAGCCTTTTAAATCTCTTTCTAAGAGATTAAAAACTCCAGGGGAACCAAGACATGGGGTTACCCATCCACACTTTGGCATGATCTCAAGTCACTGCAACCTCCACCCCCTGGGTTCAGGTAATTCTTCTGTTTCATCCTCCTGAGTAGCTGAAACTCCAGGCATGCGCCACCATGTCCAGCTAATTTTTGTATTTTAAGAAGAGACAGGGTTTCACCTTGTTGGTCAGGCTGGTCTCTAACTCGTGACCTCAGGTGATCACCATGTCAGCCTCCCCAAGTGCTGGGATTACAGGCGTGAGCCACTGTACGCGGTCCATCCACAGTTTTTTTTGAAACAGAGTCTCAGGGCTGGAGCCCGATCTCTGGTCACTGCAACCCCCACCTGCCTGGTTTAGGTAGTTCTCCTCCCTCACACTCCCAAGAAGCTGGAACTATAGGTATGCACTACCACGCCCAACTAATCTTTGTGTTTTTAGTAGAGATGGGGTTTCACTATGTTGGCCAGGCTGGTCTTGATCTCTTGACCTTGTGATCCGCCTGCCTCAGCCTCCTAAAGTGCTGGAATTACTGACCCACTTTTTTGTGACTTTTACCTCCAGGGCCTTGACCAAGAACCCACAGTGAATACTGGAGAAAAATCTCCTTGTGCTTCTGGCAGGGGGGCCAGAAGGGAACCATTTTGAAATATGTCATTCAGGGCATTCTGTTCTTTGAGACAAGGCCTTACCCTCAGGAGAAACTATTTAACGAGAGCCTGGCTGACCTGAGGGAAGGGAAATAACCAACTCCAGCCAGCTCTGGCCTTCTGCATGGAAGAAGGGAAATATACCCAACCGTCCACTCTAGCCATCTTGTCCCATGCAAGGGGGTCAGGAGAGCCTGAGAAGCATGTGTGAAGTTCATAGTTCAGTGGTACAGGCTCACTAAAAGATTGATACCCCCTCCTAGGACTATAGAACCCTTCCTCTGCCTCCATATTTTATCACCACATTACTAAAGGCCTCTTTGCAGCAGTTTCTCTTACTCAGTGCATCATATCCAGCTATCAAGAAAAAAATTACAAGACATTAAAGGCAAGAAAATATAGTTTGATGAGAAAGAGCCAGTATCTGAATGGCAGGGATGTTAGAATTATACACCAAATGGGATATATCCCAGATATTCAAGGCTGGTTCAACATTCATTTAAAAGTCAATTAATGTAGTTTGTCACATCAGCAGGCTAAAGAGGAAAAATCATGGTCATAATATTAGATGCAGAAAAAGCATTTGACAAAATCTAACACCCACTTGTGATCTCAGCAAACTAGGAATAGAGGGGAACATCCTCAACTTGATAAAGAATATCTACAAAAACACCTATAGCTAACATCACACTTGATGAGAAACTTAAGAGCTATCCCACTAAGATGAGGAACAAGGCATGTTCTCACTACTACTTTCAACATTGTACTGGAAGTCCTAGTTAGTGCAGTAAGACAAGAAAAGGAAATAAAAAGCATCCTGATTGGGAAGGAAGAAATAAAACTGTCTTTGTTCACAGATGACATGATTGACAAAAACACTCCTGGAGATAATAAGCAGTTATAGCAGGGTTGTAGGATATAGGGTTAATACACAAAATTCAGTCACTGACAAAAACACTCCTGGAAATAATAAGCAGTTATAGCAGGGTTGTAGGATATAGGGTTAATACACAAAATTCAGTCACTTTTCCTGTATATCATTGATGAGCAAGCGGTATTTGAAATTTTAAAAAATGCCATTTGGATTAGCACCCCCAAAACTGAAATACTTGAGGAGTAATATAACAAAACATGTACAAGATTTATATGAGAAGAATAAAACTTTGATTAAAGAAATCAAAGAACTAAATAAATGGAGAAATACTTTATTGATAGGAAGACTCTGTTTTCAAGATGTCAGTTCTTCTGTCATCTAATTCAATGCAGTCCCAACTCAAATCCCAGTAAGTTGCTTTGTGGGTATTGACAAACATTTTAAAGTTATATGGAGAGGCAAAAAGACCCAGAATAGCCAACTCAGTATTTATTGAGAACAGCAAAGTCAGAAGATTAACATTACTTTACTTCAAGACATACTGTAAAGCTACAGTAATCAAGACAATGTGATATTACCAAAAGAATAGACAAATGGATGGATGAAACTGAATAGAGAGCCCAGATGTAGACCCACATAAATAATGTTAACTGATCTTTGACAAAGTTGCAAAGGCAGTACAATGAAGAAAAGGTAGTCTTTTCAACAAGTTGTGCAGAAACAATTGGACATGGGTGTGCAAAAAAAAAAAAAAAAACCTAAACACAAACCTTATACCCTTCACAAAAACTAAACTCAAAATCAACTATAGGCTGGGCAGGGCATGGTGGCTCATGCCTTTAATCTCAGCACTTTGGGAGGCCGAGGCAGGCAGCTCATCTGAGGTGAGGAGTTTGAGACCAGCCTGGTCAAGATGTTGAAACCCCATCTCTACTAAAACTACAAAAATTAGCCAGGTGTGGTGCAATCCCAGCTACTCAGAAAGCTGAGGCAGGAGATTCACTTGAACCTATGAGGCAGAGTTTGTAGTGAGCTGAGATTGTGCCATTGCACTATAGCCTGGGCAACAGACTGAAACTCCGTCTCAAAACAACAACAGAAAAATCAATTATAGACCAACCTGTAAAAAGCAAAACTGTTAAACTTAGAGGATAACATCAGAAAAAATGTAGATGACCTTCTGTTGGGCAATGACTTCTTAGTTGCAATACCAAAGGCATGAACCATGGAAGAAAGAATTGATAATCTTTACTTCATTAAAATAAAAAATTTTGCTTTGTGAAAGACACTATAAAGAGAATGAAAAGAGAAGCCACAGACTGGGAGAAGATACTTGCAAAAGACATACCAGATAAAGGACTATTACCAAAAATATGCGAAGAAATCTCGAAACTCAACAATAAGAACACAACCTTATTTTAAAATTGGCCAGATTTCTTGACATCTCACCAAACCTGATTTTAAAATTGGCCACATATCTTGAAATCTCACCAAAGCATATGAAAAGATGTTCCACATTATATATCATCAAGGAAATGCACAGTTAAAACATGAGATACCACCACACAGCTGTTAGAATGACCCAGATCTTTAACACTGACAGTACCATTTGCTGGTGAATATGTGGAGCAATTCTCATTCACTGATGGTGGGAATGCAAAATTGTGCAGCCACTTTGGAAAACAGGTGAGCAGTTCCTTACAAAACAAGGCATACTCTTATCATAAGATCTGGCAATTATGTTTCTGGTATTTACCCAAAGCAGTTGAAAACATGTCTGCCCAGAAATCTGATCATGAATGTTTATAGCAACTTCAGAATTGCCAAAATTTGGAAGCAACCAAGGTATTCTTTATTTAGGTGAATGGGTAAATAAAACTCACACTTTTTAGACAATCGGATATTATTCAGTGCTATAAAGAAATGAGCTATCACATCATGAAAAGTCATGGAGGAGCCTGAAATTCATCTTACTAAGAGAAAGAAGCCAATCTGAAAAGACTGTGTACTGTATAATTTCAACTATCTGATAATTTTGGAAAAGGCAAAACTAAGAAAGAAAACAGTGGATTGGAGGGGAGGGAGGGATGAATAGGCAGAGCAAAGAGGATTTTTAGGGCAATGAAGCTACTCTATGATACTGTAATCGTGGTTACATGATCTGTTTTCCAAACCCACAGAATGTACACCACCAAGAACAAACTCCAGTGTAAATTATGGACTCTGGATAACAATGATGTACCAATGCATGTTAATCAATTGTAACAAATGTGCACTCTTGTTGGGGATGTTGATAGTGGGGGAGACAGCATGTTTTGGGACAGGCTCAGTTTCATTGTGAACACAAAACTACTTTAAAACATAAAGTCTATTTTAAAAAGAAAAGAGGGCTTAGGACAGAACCTTAGAGAATTATTAACTTTGAAGAACTAATCTTAGAATAGTTCTGCTGTTCCGTGTGAAAATAAGTTAAATATCTGTTCTGAATGTAAAAGTGAACATAAGCTGTTTTTGAGTAGGTTTTCTGTAGGCAAATGATAAAATAATTTTTTTTTAACCTGTTCTCTGATATAGTGACCCTTAGCATTCATACTTTCAACAGTCTCAGCTTTGATATTCAGAAACAACTTGGAGAGCCAGAGAATACAATAATTTTTTATTTTCAAACATTCACTTTAAGACTCCTGTTTGGGAGAGTAATTTAGCTCTTGAGTAAGCTTAGCATGCTTTTCTTTTATCCTCTGCCCCTCAACTCTTGGTGACACTTGAAGGATCTGAAAGAATCAGTTATATTTGTTCATTAGTTTCATGCATATTAATTGGGAAATTACATGTAGTATTGGTGAATTTGAGGATTAACAAAGATTTGTATTGGGCCACATATCTTGAAAATACCCAGGATGTACTATGCCTATTGTAAATTAAATTTGGCCTTTGCCTCCTAGTGTTGGCATTTTTTATGACTAACACTAGGAGTTTAGTTATGATGGGGGAAAAGGATAAATATTCAAGTACCCTGTTTGCATAAGAATACCTTTTTTCTGCTTGGGGAAAACAGTCAGTGGAGATCTTAATAAGGATTGACTTTTCTTGGTAACAGAATTGATACCAGTGGTACCTGACATCTGTACAGCCAGACACAAGTCCGAATTTGTTGGACCCTGAAAAATTGTTTAAATATTTGTTACATTTCCCAAATTGATTGGTCTGTAAGATGGTTAATAGTAACTTATGCAAAAGTCCAGAAATTAGGTGTTGATATTCACTGAGAAGTCTGCCTTAAAAATTAAACTTTTTTTTTCTGATATTAAGGGCACCGTGAAAATACGTAGAATAAAAATCAGAAGCCATCTTCTGCCCACTGTATAGGAGTAGGCTTATGCTTCATCGGGTGTCAATCCTTACATTTTTCCATGCCTTTCTATACATGTATGTACAGATGTGTAAACATCATTTTAGAGTTTAATTTGTTTTGTTTTCCCTTAGTGGGGTAATACAGTAAGTATTATTTTCCAACTGTCTTTTATCATTGAATAGTATAAGCATTTTTTTTTTTTTTTTTTTTTTTTTTTTAGCTGCAGCATTTCTCAGAGTTTGCATTAGGCTTTGTGCGTTGTAAATCTCCAAAGATGGGATACATGATACTGTATTTGTCAACTTGACCATAGAAACCCCTTGTCCAGGAGCCTCTTATAGAAACATTGGTTTGGGGAGTACTGATTGTCAAATTTTGCCTAATACCTGGGAAACAGGGTGGGGATTTTGCTTTATGATCCAGTTAATGATGATTCACTTTATAAAAATAAAATAATTTCACATGTGCCATTTTGTTTAGATCTGTTAGTCAAGTGTATTGGTGAAGAAACCAAGTATGAAAGCATCAGACTTCTGTTTGATGGCTTACAGCAGCCAGTACTCAACAAGCAGGTAAAACTCATTTGTGTTAGCTGAGTTTGGTGAATGACATAGTAGGGTTTCTGGTAAATCATTAGCTGTATAAATGACACTACACTAAATCAAGGTAATATAATTTAAACATTCAGATAAAAAAAGTTTTATTTGTTACTCTTGTCAGTTACCTTTTTCTTACTTTGATTTAAAATTAATACATAGTCATTGCAGAAAATTTGGAATATGTAGAAAATTCATAAAATACAGTAAAAAATTAAAAATTGGTAATTCCATTATTCAAGTCACATAGAATAACCAGTTAACTTTTTTATGTTTATGGTTATATAAACTGTATATAAACTTTATATATTCTGTTGAGATCTTAATGCAGTTTTAATTTTGTGTTCTTGTTTTTCTAAAAATTTTTATTATGTATAAAATATTTAACATAAAAATGAATTAGGCATGAGGAAGTGTCCTCATGCAAACATGTGTGTACTTATTACCTGTTTTGGGAATAGAACACTATTGATACTACTGAGGCTACTTTTGTGCTTGTATTATCAGTGCTATTCCCTGCCTTTGCACTTAGATGTAACCACAATCTTTAATTTTGTGTTCATCATTTTTATGGTTTTTATGTTTAGTGCCTTAACATTTATTATTATTTTTGGTGCTTTAGCTGACTTATGTTTTATTGGACATTGTGATACAGGAGCTGTTTCCAGAGCTCAATAAGGTAACTGAAAAGCAGTAATTTTATTCATTGTTTTCTCAATGGTATGCTGACATTTATTTTAATTAGGGACATAAATGTAAGAAAAACCCTTGACTCTGTTTTCTGTGATTATTTAAAAAATTAACCTCAACAAATTGCTTTTTATATTTTCTTTATTAAACATGCCCCAACAGTTCTGAGGGACGGCTATTGAATAGCTTCTTCTTTGACTTCATCCCTTTTTGATTACAAGCAGATAGGGACCCTTTACAGTCTTTCCAGGGAAAGAAGTGAGTTTAAGTCCTAGAAAAGGCCAACCTCAAAGTTGTCATCTGTAACATTGTATGCTGCGTAAGTAGAAACTTGAGTATTTTTTGAAGCAATTTTTATATAAACCCAAGTACAAAATAAACTAAAATTAGAGCATAGTTATATTATTACTGTATTGAATCTTGAGGATTTTGACTTTTGAGCAATGGTTTAAGTCATTCTTTTCTTTTTTTTTTTTTTTTTTGAGACAGATCTCTCTCTGTCACCAGGCTGGAGTGCAGTGGTGTGATCTCGGCTCACCGCAACCTCCGATTCCCTAGTTCAAGTGATTCTCCTGCCTTAACCTCCCAAGTAGCTGGGATTTCAGGCATATGCCACCATGTCAGCTAATTTTTGTATTTTTTAGTCGGATAGGGTTCCACCACGTTGGCCAGGATGGTCTGGATTTCCTGACCTCGTGATCCGCCCACCTCGGCATCCCAAAGTGCTGGAATTACAGGCATGAGCCACCATGCCTGGCAAATTCATTATTTTCTGTCTTACTTTTTGACTAATCCTTTTGGTTGGATGAAACAACTATTGTTCAGTGCTTTGGTATTGCAATGAAGTGTCACTTTTGTAGAGTAGAGGAAACCAGATTTGGACTATTCTACCTATTATAAACTTTCAAGTTATCTTAGTGTTAAGTGCCTATTAAAACAGAGTGGCAGTTACAGACTTTATATCTTTATAAAGATATAAAAAAATCAACAGCAGGAAACCTCTAGCTCTATATGAGACTTCATAAGGTCTGTCATTAAATGTTGCCTTTTTTTCTCATTTACAAAATATACCTTACTTGCTCCATATGCCAGCCAGTTTCACTTGGTTTACAATATATGTATGTCTTAGGTTAGAATTTTAATACACTAGAGCTGTTAGGCAATTCACAAATGAACTTGTATCTTATTATCTTCTATTAAATGGATTTATTTTTACTTTAGGTACAAAAGGAAGCTACCTCTGTGACACCTTGGATTTAAACACTTGGATTTGGTATAGGATAACCCATTGAAATTTCTGCTGTGGTAGGGTGGTAGAAATGTACTTTTTTGGTTATATTCTTATATATATCATGTACATCACTGTCTTAAATTTTAATTTTTTTTTTAATAAAGACTAACACAAATTTAATAATAATTAAAAGTGATTGAGTCTCATAGCCTGTCATTTGCTATCTGTGATCCAGATTTTATTAGAGCATGTGTCACTTGTTATTGCCATTTTTAAAAGAGAAAATACATAATGATGTTAGGGCTAACAGTTAAGACTGATAACCTTCATATTGTATAACTTTGAAAATAATTGTGCCTAGTATGGAGAAACAGGAGTTAGATCTGATTTTCTTTATTTAGAGTTAATATATTTAAGTAGATTGATTTTCCTTTTTTTTTTGTTTTGTACATAGTTAACTGTGTACCTATAAATAATATATCCTATATGAGTTTTTCATAATAAACAAGGGATCTCTCCTTATTCTTGCTGGGTGTCTGACAGGTTTGTAGCCCTATTTTGTGTAAAAACCGAATACTTACAGATGCTCGTGATTGTGTGGTTGCCACTAAGTTTCACTGAATTGTCTGTAACTAATAATATATTCCTAAAGCTCATATAAACAATTTAGGCAAGTAGATTTTTGGTTTATGTTGTCTCTTATCTCTTTAAAAGAAAAATGTAGAATTACTTATACCTTTTGAAAGTTAACTTAAAAGATTTCTTTTTAAAGAATCAATATTTCAAAATTCTTGCAATTCCTTACCATGTTATGCAGTTATCCTTGAAACAGGTTTGTCAGGATTGAGCATTTTGCATTAGGTTATTGGCTGTAATGTTTATTCAGAATATTTATTGAGCTTCATTCACGTGTTAGATACCAAGCTGGGTAACATGAGAATGCTGAATATGATTTAGAAAAATAAATTTAATTTTACCATTCATTAATTTTTCTCAAGATTTCAAAAAATGATTGTTAGGTGTTACAGATTTTTGAAGAGATTTTGTTAACAGTTCTATTATAGTTTTTAAATACTCGAAAGTTCTAGAATATGTATGAGGTTCCATGAATCAATGGTTTAATACCAAGCTTTAATAAAAAGTTACCGATTTCTCAGGGGCAGGTGGAAAATTGATCAAACAAACGATTCACATTTAAATCCATAACCCTTTTATTATTTAAAATGTAATAGGTGAACTGGAAAAATAAAATATTTTACAGCCTTTTTTATGTCATCCTTACCTGTTCTTCTTTAAATTGTGGTATTCTCTTTATTTAGATAAGAAAAAATTTGTGGATGTATCATGTCTGCTCGAGTTACCATAATAGAACACCAGACACTGGGTGGCTTACACCACAGATATGTAATTCTCACAGTTATGGAGGCTGGGAAGTCTAAGATCAAGGTGCCTGCAAATTAGGTTCTATTCTGAGGACTATTTTCTTGGCTTGTAGGTGGCTGGCTTCTCGCTATGTGCTTACATGACCTCTTGTACACATATGGAGAGGTAAAAAGAAATCTCATTCTTTCTTCCTTTTCTTAAAAGGCCACCAATCCTATTGAATTAGAATCTGACTCTTAGGACTTCATTTAACCTAAATTAGCTCCTAAAGGCTCTCTCTTCAAATATAGTCAAATTGGGATTTATGGTTTCAACATAGGAGTTTTAGGAGGATACAGTTCAATCCATAACAGTAGGTAAGCTCTGTTTAAAGAAGATGTTATGTATACATGTCTGTACATATAAAATTAATCACATTGTGAAAGGGGAAAGGAACTAAAATGCAATCCCTATTTAATTTGGCAGGCATTTTATAGACATCATCACAACAACTCTGAGATGGTGTTTCTTCTATTTTATAGGTGAGGATATTGGGGCCTGAAAGAATGGTAAAGTTAGAATTTGACTTAAATCTCTCTAGTCTTCCCATGTTCTTGTCACTGTTGCACCATGAAAGAACTTGTTTTTAGATGTAGTCACTATCTGGATCCCTTTAAAAAGTATGCTCCCTGATTTATTTTTAAAATTGCTCTGCATATTTCTTTCTATTTATTTTTGTATGTGTCTAGTGTATGAGCTTCATAAAGAACACATTTTTAAATTTGTTTACTTAAACAGAGCTGTCAGTTTTTCTGGTTGGGGGAGATACAATAAAGTTAAACAGAGGTGAAAACACTTTGAAATTTATAAAGGACATTGTAAGATTGTGTTAAAAGTATTACTTTTTTTTCCTTCAACTTTTAAGTTCTGGGGTACATGTGCAGGATGTGTGGGTTTGTTACGTAGGTAAACGTATGCCCCATGGTGGTTTGCTGCACAGGTCAACCCATCACCTAGGTGTTAAGCCCAGCATCCATTAGCTATTCTTCCCGATGCTCTCCCTTCCTCTGTTACCTCCTGGTCCCCTGCCACAGGCCCCAGTGTATGTTGTTCCCCTCAGTGTGTTTATGTATTTTCCTTGTTCAGCTCCCGCTTGTAAGTGAGAACTTGCAGTATTCGGTTTTCTGTTCCTGTGTTAATTTGCTGAGGATAATAGTTATATATTAGATTTTGCAAAATGGTGAAAGTTAACATTTAAATTACCATTTATTGGCTTCCTAAAAAATTTATGTTTTTACAGAAAAAGTATAAACAGAAGTCTAATTTGCCCACTGTTGTTCTTAGCAGACTGTATAATGATGTATGTACAAGATATAATTTCAGGTACAATCAACATTAAAATAACAAATGACTGACCAAAGGAAGAAACAAATGAGTATGTCTTCTTAGTCCACTATACAGTAGTACTCCTTTATCTGCAGTTTTGATTTCCAAGGTTTCGGTTACCCAAGATCAACCAAGATCTGAAAATAGGTGAGTATAGTACAACAAGATGTTTTGAAAGATCACACTCACATAACTTTTGTTACAGTATGTTATGATAATTGTTGTATTTTATTGTTAGCTACTGTTAATCACTTACTGTGCCTAATTTTATGTTAAATCTTATCATAGGTATGTATGTATAGGAAAATCAGTACTATCATGCGCTACATAATGATGTTTTGGTCAGTGATGGATTGCATATATGACGGTGGCCCTGCAAGATTGTAATTGAGCTGAAAATTTCCTGTCACCTGGTGATGTAGCCATCTTAATGTCATAGCACAATATTCGTGGTGATGCTAGTGCAAAGTAAGCCTGCAGTATTTCCAGTCATATAAAATTGATAATAAACCACTATGTTACTGGATTGTATATTTACCATACTATTTAGCATTACTTTAGAGTGTACTCCTACTACTTATAAAGAGTTGACTATAAAACAGCCTGAGAGATTTTTCAGGAGGAATTCCAGAAGAAAGCATTGTTATCTTAAGAGAGGACAGCCCCGTGCATGTTATTGCCCCTGAATACCTTCCAGTGGCACAAGATGTGGAGGTGGAAGACAGTGATGTTGATGATTCTGTCCCTGTGTAGGCTTACACTAATGTGTGTGTGTCTTAGATTTTGTTTTTTAACTTTTATGAGATGGATTCTCACTTTGTCACCCAGGCTGGAGTGCAGTGGCGTGATTGCAGCTCACTGCAGTCTTGAAATCCTGAGCTCAGGGGATCCTCCTGCCTCAGCCTCCCAAGTAGGTGGGAATACAGGTGTGAGGCTGAGGCAGGAGGATCCCTTGAGCCCAGGAGTTTGAGACCAGCCTGGGCAACATAGTGAGACCCTGTGTCTACAAAAAAATAGGAAAATTAACAGGACCTAGTGGCATATCCCTGTAGTCCCAGCTACTCATGAGGCTGAGGTGAGAGGATTGCTTGAACCCAGGAGGTCAAGGCTTCAGTGAGCAGTGATTGTGCCATTGTACTCTACCCTGAGTGACAGAGCGAGACCCTGTCTTTAAAAAAATTAAAGTAAATTTTAAAATAGAAAAAAAGCTTATAGAATAAAAATATAATAAAAGGAAATACTTTTTTACAGCTGTACAATGTGTTTGTGTTTCAGGCTAGGTATTATTACAAAAGAGTTAATGCTACTCTCAGTTATTTGCATGTTGTGGGCTTTCCTGAATGGGATGAGGATGGGTAGAATTTTAAGCAGTGATCAGATAATCAGGGGACCAGAAGCCTATGTTATCAGTACTGTAGTTCTAGAGAACAGCATTTACTAAGGTTACAATACTAATTTGTTCATTATGACTTTTATTCTCCAGTAGTATGTGGGATCTCTTTTCAGAGATAGATTTTCAATGAGGAATAAGGCAAGGCTAGATAAAGAAGACTTAAGCAGAGTAGTGATACATCTGTGTTGTAAATGAGCAGGCATGATGCTATTAATATTTCTTAGTGATGAAACAAAATTTGTGATCATATAATCAACGTTTCACAATGTGATGAGTTAGTGAAATTTTCAGGAACACTGTTTGTGTTAATGCTAACATATAAAGTCTATGCATTGTGATTTTACTAGTAAAATAAAACATGTTTAGCTTTCAAATTTATAGCCTTCCTCCCTTCATCTGTGGAGTTTATAAGTGAACAAAGAATCAACATCCAATTAAGAACATCAAGCTCAGTAAAAAATTTGATTGCCATATTTATTTGTTATAAAATAATACTTTGAAATATCTTAGGGGCTCATTTGATTACTCACATGCTTACAAATTATTTAATGATTGTCTTACTAAAAAAATGTTATTTTGTTTACTTATCTGGCATTTTTGACTTTCATACAAATCTGGATATCTCACATGTGAATATACATTGTTGGAGGGAAAGTTAAAATGTAGTTTTTAAGAAAGACTTAGAAGGTAATTTTATTTGTTTTTAATGTTAATTTTTACATATTTTTGTATATGAATTCATACTCATTTTCATAGGGGCCATTTCTGGGTAATTTATAAAGAAAAGGGGTTTAGTTGGCTACAGTTATACAGGTGGTACAGGAAGTATGGTGCTGGCATCTCCTTTGCTTCTGGAGAGGTCTCAAGAAACTTAAAATCATGATGGAAGGCAAAGTGGGAGCAGACACGTCACGTGGTCAGAGCAGGAGCAAGAGAAAGAGAGCAGGGAGATGCCACACACTTTGAAATGACCAAGTTTTATGAGAACTCACTGTCATAAGAACAGTACCAAGGGGATGGTACTAAACCATTTGTGAGAAATTGACCTCCATAATCCAGCCACCTCCCACTCGGCCCCACCTCCAGCACTTGGGATTATAATTAGACATGAGATTTGGGTGGTGATGCATATCCAAACTATATCAGAAACCAAAAGGCTAGAGTTCATTCCTCAGTCAGTCTTCTATCTTTATAAACTTGGGCTTGAAACCAGGCTCAGCTATTTAGATGTTACCATCTCTATGTAGGCAACATACCAACACAAAAGAATAGTCAAAGGTCCTTCTGGGTTTTAGCTGTGGCGAAGGTGAACCCAGCAGCTCTCCAGTCTTAGTTTGGGACGTGCAGCACCAGGGATACTAAGACTCTTCTTGTGGTGGGATTTTAGCCATGCCTCGCT